ATCTTCAGTCAGTCCTTCATGAATTCTCAAAGGCATTTTTACAGAAATTCTTCTAGTGATAGTTGACTAGATGTATCATGATAAATAGAATTGTGTTTTTTTGTTTGTGTATATGTATAATACTGTAAAGCTATTTTCTCAATCATAACCCATTGAGAATTAAGCAAAAACTAATACATTTTGTAGAGCTGATCAAATTCTAGTTGAGTTCATTAATTAAAAACATGAACCCAAGCAAGAGGTGAATCGTGAGGAAAAATATTCCAAACAAGTTGAAATGTACTATTTCAAGTTAGTATTCGCGATATATTGTATTTTTTTTTTGATTAGTTTGAAGAAAATGGAAACAAAATTAGTGCAATTTATATAATTTGTCAAGTTCTAGATGAGTTCATCAAATAGAAAGTGTGGGCACACTCGTACGTACAGCAAGTTATGACTGAAAATACTCGAATTTTGACCAAAGATATCCTACACTAAATAAAATGATTCTAGCTTGCTTGTTGATCATTTTTTTTAGTACTTACTGTAAATATAATGTTAGTGACTTGAATAAGCAGATTGCTTCAAATCATCAAGTTTATTGGAATTACAAATAGTCAAATAGCACTTATAGACACTCTTGATATAGATAGAATCATTTGAACTGTTTCCAGAGAGAATGAGAAATAATTCTTCCTCCCGAATGCCTACAGCTTCTAGTAAAGATTCAATAATCGTAATAGCTTTATTTGAAAAATAATGATTGTTACGTCTATTTCATTAGTTAGGTAAATAGTTTGTTCACACTACTGGTGATGGCATGTATCTGTTACTCAAAGATTCAAAATTAACAGAATAAATCGACGAAATTCTCTAATTTTTTTCTCAACAAAAAATATAGTATCATTGTCTTTTTTGGTATAATAAACTAGATAATCTTCATGATCGAAAATTACCATTCGATCAGTAGGAAAAATCCTCCACAAAAAAAATGAGATCGAGTATTATTTAGATACCAGAAAACAACCAAATTTCAAATCTTTTGTAATAATGACAAGAAATGCATGACCGGCTCTTGAGTATTGCCAAGTGAATATTATGCAAAACTACTTGAACACAAGCATTTTTATGAGACATACTCGTTCAATAAAATATGATAGATGTCGTCATGAATTAAATAATTCCTATACTTTGATACGATATTCAATATCAACAATTAGTTATCATATTTAAATGATAAAAATTTAAAGGTTTTTCTACATATTTTGAAGTTCCAATTAGAGAGGACGTTATACTAACAAGTTATTAAATTTATTATTTTATTGGTTGATACAAGACAACGCTGGCTACGTGTGTTCATCCGTACAGACAAAGAACGACCGCCGTGTCGGTCGTTTCTTGTTCTTTATCTCGTTTCCATTTACTTCTTTTTTCTTCTTACGGGTTCATCATAAACGCATACTTCGGCATAACTTAGGTAAGAATAATGAATGTTTCTGCATTTGTATTACTTGAGCACATCATAGTAAAAAAAAAAAAGAAAAAGCAATAATAGAATAATGTGCATCCATCATTTTTTCCATTATTCTTCTATTCTTTTTTTTAAAGTTAATAATCATGGACTATCCAACAAGTAATCGTGTACCTCCACCACCGATGCATCATCAAATTCCGTCACATCCATCTCATTCAATGCATCATCCACAACATCCACTTCTTTCAAATCAATTACAACCAATTAATCCTGAAACACATACATCAATGTGGCTCGATGATCCATATGCTGTTTCAAATACATCTGTATCACAACGTGATTCAGGATTTAATTCACGAGCTGCTTCATTACGAAGTATTGAATCAACAGTAACAAATACAACTGGTCCATTACACCATGGACCAACAACAGCCTCTGCATATGAACAAATTCCTCCTCCACCTCCATTACCGCCGGATCATGAAAATATACATCCACAATATGCTGAAATGCAACCAGCACCTGTACCACAATCACGACCAGAGCCAAGTCAAGTTATACCTGAATTACTTAATTTATTAATGGAAGATGATGCTGTTATTATACGTGAAGCTGTTCTACTAACACATGTATTGGTCAAAGAAGGTGGCGAAGGTCGTTCGGAAGTTATACGCAATCGTGATGTATGTTTCTTTTTTTTTTTAACTTATCACTCATTGTGTTTTTTAAATTTTATATTGAATGATTTTTTTTAGTTAATTCATGCTTTATTGGAAAGTTTTTCAAAAGATGTTGGTGATGGTAAAGTAATATATGTTCTCGCAAATTTATTTCATGCACTTTCACAACAACAAGAAGGTCTTCGTGCAATACTTGATTGTGGTGGAATTCCACGATTAATTCAAATTCTTGAGTAAGTTAAATTTTGTTTTTTTTTCTTTTTTTTGAAATTTTTATAATTGAATTTTAGTTCACCTGACAGTACAGTTAATTTTGTTGTAACAACATTACATAATTTTTTAATTGTTCTTCAAGAACAATCAGCTAATGAAATTGATCGTTGTAATGGTACACAAAGTTTTATAAATTTACTTCATAGTTCAAATGATAAATTATTAACATTAGTTTCGGATTGTTTACTTAAAATGTCAAGTTGTAATTTAAATTCAAAATTATTTATACAAAATAGTGAAGAATGTGTTCAACGTCTTTTATCTATATTTGATACGACAAAATATGATAAATTATTATTAACAATATCAAAATTATTTCCAATAATATCATCAGGAAATGAAATAATTAAAAGAGTTTTTTTACAATTAAATGCTTTAAGTATATTTGAAAAACAAATACGATTAACAAAAAGTATTCGTATAAGACATAATTGTCTTATTGCATTAAGAAATATATCTGATCAAGCAACACGAATGGTATAGAAGACGATTGAAATTTTAATCTTGCAGCTTTTTGTTGAGAATATTTTTTTTTATTTTGTAGCGTGATGTAGAATCATTACTTCAACAATTAGCAGGAATATTATTAACTGATGATCATCAATCAGTCTTATGTTCAATAGGAATTTTAAGTAATTTAACAGCTGATAATAGAACAAATAAGAGTCTATTGGTAAAATTAAATGGTGTACAAACATTAATGCAAAAATTGATGATGAACGCCGATGGAAATGATGATTTAATTGAAGCAGCTGTAAGTTTAAAAAATTTTTTACTTTTTCAAGTCGAAATCTATGAGTTAGCCCTATAAATTTAACTTTGACTGAAACACGGACTTTTCTCAACAAGAATCAGATTATATTGTATTTTAGTCAACATTCTGATGAGGCATATCCTTTATGTTTGCATACTATTCAGACAGTTTAGATGATTGTCTAGGCAATTTTTGAACTAAATACGTAATCATCAAAACGCTGGAATGTTCCGTTACGTTTGAAGAACTTTGATTTTGTCGTTAGGATGCATGTACTTCAATTTTTAAAATTTTTTCATTATCAAGCGTGACCATAGTCTGCTCTGAAATTTATTCTTTAATTTCTGCTTGGTTTTATTAAGTATAGTCAAATGAATACAATCAGGATGATACTCAGAGGTTAAAGTTCAGTGCTTACGTAATTCGGATAATTGTGTTGTAAGAATTAGCGTTGTTTGAAAAATTGAGAATTGGATAAAATGAAACAGACTTTCTGAAAACATCTTAGAAATAGAAAAAGAGAACCCTGAAAAAAAATTCGTGCTATATATCTATTTGAAGTTATGTTCAACTTAAATGCAATTCTAGGAAGTCGTAGAGGGTTGGTCAACCTTTCTAGATTGATAATTCTAATGCGTGCAAAGAAAGGAATGTTCTTACTGTTAATGATTCTAATATCATTCGTACAGCTTTTACATGTATCCAAAGAATTTAAGAAAAAATTTGCTTTAGAAATGAAACGCTCCCTCGACAGAATTGAAATCAGGACTAAATACATTTCAATTGAGACTGGTCACTAAATAGTTTACATATCCTTATGTGTTTTTTGATTTGTTTTGTAGTTATGCACACTTCGACATGTAACAGCCCGTCATGATTTAGAAAATGAAGCTCGAGAAGCAATTAGAAAATCATATGGAATTGGTAATATTGTGAAATTATTACGAGATAAAAATTTTAAAGAACATTGGGGAATAATAAAAGCAACAGTTGGTTTAATAAAAAATTTATCTTTATCACCAACAATAATTTCACAATTATGTGAACAAAATGCTTTTCGAAGATTAATTGAATTATTAATTAATATTGATCGTGAACGAACAAAAATTTATGATGAAAATAAACAATATTTACATCAATTTGATGTTATGATTGAAATTATTCTTGGAGCATTAAATAATTTAGTAAAAGATTCTTCGTGTAAAACGATTATTAAAGAAATGAATTGTATATCAATTATTATTCGTGTAAGAATATTTTTTTTCAGATTAGTTATTAGATTTTTTTTTGATATTTTCTTTTAGTATTCAAATATACCGCCTTGTTCATTACAACAAATAGCAAGTATTTTATTAAAAGAATTAAATATTGATCGAGATCGTAATCAATTAAATGATTCATCATCTCATCAACAATTTAATAATAATAATAATAATAATAATAATCATATGATCGATTCTCGTCATATTCGTCAGCAGTGACTTTGAAGTTTTTTTTTGTGTGCTTCTTCAAATATGAATATAAATTTTTTTTTTCCTCCTAGTCATCTATAATTCCTTATTTTGTTTTTGAGTATATATTCCACTGAATGTTGTCTCAATCACTTTTTTCCTATCAATCGGCTTATTGTCAGATGTTGTTTTGTGTATGTATTTTCTCTTTATGTATGCTTCCTTTGATATATATATATAAATGTTTATACATATTGTGCAATCGACTTTGAGTTAGTACTTCTGTTGTAATTTTTTTTTTCTTTAATTAACTAATGTTTTCACTGTATTAATGATGTCATAATAATGTTCTAGATCCAAGTTTTTAATATTAAGTCATTTGAATAATGGCAGGTCAAAACGTTTATTTCGATATTTCAATCGACAATAATCCAGCTGGTCGCATTACATTCAAAGTAAAATTGAATAGTTATTCTTGAAGAAAGATAAATAAAAGATTCATGATATTGATGTGTTTCTTTTTAGCTCTATGATGATGTTGTACCAAAGACAGCAGGTATTTTTTTTTAAATGAAATATTTTTGTGAATTGTTATAATTTTTTTTTCTTCTTTGATTTATTTTAAGCTAACTTTCGTGCATTATGTACTGGCGAAAAAGGTTTTGGATATCAAGGAAGTACATTTCATCGTGTAATTCCTCAATTTATGCTTCAAGGTAAAGACTTTTGTTAATATATTTTTTTTTAAATTATTAATTGATTAATTTTATAGGTGGTGATTTCACCAAACAGTAAGTTGATTAATAAAAATTGTATTTGATAAATAGTATTTTTTTTTTCTTTTTTCTATTCGAATAGTAATGGTACTGGTGGCAAAAGGTATTTTGATTTTGTAGTTTGAATTGATAATAATAAATTAACTTGTCGTTTTTTCATATAGTATCTATGGTGAAAAATTTGCTGATGAAAACTTCAAAATTAAACATACAAAAGAAGGTCTTTTATCAATGGCTAATGCTGGTCCTAACACCAATGGTTCTCAATTTTTTGTTACTACTGTTAAAACATCATGGCTCGATGGCAAACATGTACTTATATTTTACATAATTATTGTTATATTGATATATTTCTCCTTGGTTTTTTTTTGACAGGTTGTCTTTGGTGAAGTTCTTGATGGTATGGATCTTGTTAAGAAAATTGAAGGCTATGGTATGTTATATTAACAAATTTGTTTTTTAACAAAATCTAATTAATTTTCATTATAAAATTTAGGATCGCAATCAGGTACTCCAAAGGCCAAGATTGTTATTACAAAGTGTGGCACGTTATAATAAGCGCACAAAAATAAAAACAAAAAAAAAATAAACTCAAATCTTTCCTCGTATACTTGTTTGCTTTGTGTTGTCTCTCTGTGCTTGTCTCTTCTATTCATTTTATTCTATCCTATCATTAGATGCGGTTATTTCTCATGTAGTTGCTCATGTTAAACAAGAAAAAAAACCTAAGCTCAATGTCATGTCCAAGACTCATTATCATTGAGCTTGTGCTTCTCATACTTTCGATCTGAATAAAAAAAATAAAAGCAAGCATTCATCTGATGAATTTTCATTCATGTTATTTATGCTGTTGAAATATTCTTGAAATCAATTGGATAACAAGAAATAATATATATAAGAAACTCAAACAGTATTTAGCCAGTCCTTCACACAACTATTCGACAGTTGGTTTTAGTGGTGTTCTCTAAAGTATTGCCTCTCATGAATAATGGACTTGTGCATCTGATTAAACCAGGTCATGCAAGTCGTTTTTGATAACATCCTTTGTGAAACTATGTATAGCTTGTTTTACACACAGTTAACATCGCATTGGTAACGTTGAATCACACTGCATGTATTTGATATACGAATTTTGAAGGCAAAAAGAAGTAATAATAGTTCAAATATCGCGGATATGCTAGATTTGGGTGCAATATCATATGATATTCTGCCAGAGAGGGTGCGGATGCAGGTCTTTTTGTACACTGACAAATACTCTAACCCACACACTTTCCTACAGGTTACCTACCCACATGTGCACAGTCACCATAATAGCTCAAATAAACATTTTTACAAATCTCGTTAGTGTCTATTGAATAAAAAATAAACTGTTTATTAATTATTGTAAATCGGCCAATTATCCAATGTATCAATAAAAGAAATAAATTGCTGGGCAATGTATCTAATTCAACAGAAGAGAATATGTTACAATTAATTTATTATTTAATAATTGTGAGTCAATCTCTGCTGATTGTCATAATTGATATATATATATATGGGAGTTTCCGGTTAGACAGCATACTCAATCAAGTTTTTTTGACATTGTCTCAACCATGTAACAGAAAAAATTGGTTTTTGTATCAGTGATAGTATATTCATAATGCTAATCATTCGTTTTTTGTTCGAAATCTGTCTCTTATGAATAAATAGGTTTGTTTGCTGAGGTTGTTCTTAGAATATTTTATTCATAGATGCATCTTTTATCGCATGATCTTAAGAAAGACCTCAACCAATGTCTTCATTTATAATAGACAGAATCTCAACAAAAAAGAATGATCAGCATCAAGTATGCACTATACCTGATACAAAAATTCAAAGTTTTTTGATATGATTGAGATTGTATCAAAAAATATTTATGGAGTATCCTACACAACTGGGCACTCTCAATGAATGATGAAAAATTAAATCGTTCTCAATCTCATGTTTTTTATTCAAACTATTGAAACCGCTAACATGGGAACTCTAAAATCAATATACTACTGTTTTTAACCGCATATCATGAATTCGTATTTTAGATTTCGACATACATCGATATATAATTAAAAAGAATTTTTCATGCACTGTACTCCATTATTATTTAAATTTAAAAATAAAGCTTTAAAAAAATACTATGAAAGAACAAAAGTAAATATGGTTACAACAGTGCGACGATTAAAAAATATCCGTCGAATAGCCTATAACATTGCACATATAAACTGGACTAAATTACACAAGTGTAGTATTCATCAAGATCGGTTCAATGATTAATTTATTAAAACTCAACATTTTAAAAATCGCCTATATCATATGCGAAACTATTAGTAATGAAACAACATGAATATTCATAGAATAATGACCTTGATTATCGTATACGTCATTCTTTGGCGTAAGAAAGATTATGCTTTCTTTTAATGAATTTGTATGCATAGTAAAAACTAAGAAGAATAATATCTATCTACCAAGGCATTTGTTGAATTTTTCATTAATCATAATATTGGATTATCATTGAGAGATGTATGTTTGCTTTCTGTATTAAGGAAACATCTCAATTATTATCAAAGCATAATAAATACTTCTTTTGAAGCACTTACTTGAAAACTTACAAAGGAGCAGCAGATGCATTTTTCATATTAAATAAAAAAAAAATGACCTCAACCCGACGCATAGTAGCAATTTTTTGTGGTTGCTTTCTAATGGTAGCTTTCATATTGTATATTGTCAGCAATGCCTTACCAGAATGGTATGTGATGCACTTTTCTTTTCTCTTTCAAATAAAATTTTATGTACAATAAAAACTTAGTATATAAATTTGTTCTTGGAGTTTACATAAGAGTGAAAAATTATTCGATATTAGTCACAAAATTTCAAGGATAAAAATCTATAAAGTATATCAAAGAGAAAACTAAATAAAACTTTTTTTTCTCTGTGATAAAGATAATACGTTTTGTACAATCATAGCAAGTTTCTTGTTAACTAGAGAACGATTAGTTAGTTACATTCACATTTATGCTTATCAGTCTTTGATAATTGGTCGAGAAATGAGATAATGAACGCGAATAATTAAAGCATTATATGGTCATATCTTTGATGATACACGCCGCTACTATAATTTGTAAGCTCTTTGAAAGTAAACCGATACTTGTGTGATTGATCTATATAGGTTATACTAAAATGTTTAAATCGAGTACATTATTTTCATGTTAGGTATCATTTATTCTATAAATTTCATTTATATTAATATTTCAGTAGCATTATATCTTGTATATTAACGATCAAATAATCTATTTAATTATTATGACTTTAGAGAATAAAAAAGAATATTCAATAGATTTCATAGTTCTCATTTTAAAATAATAGTGAAAAAAAAATTAATTTTTATATAAACTATTTAAAATTTTCTTAAAAAACGAAACCAATCTCTGTACATTTTCATTATAAGATGTTTTCATTTTAGTATCGACTTTTATTCTTTTGAAGTCTTATACAAAAACAAAGAAAGATGCTTGTTACTATCTAAGTATATTTTAGGAGATCCAGTATGAATTCATTAATACCATTTAATGTTGGCCTATGGCGTGCATGCAGAACAATTGGTAGAAGAATCCTATGCAGTGACATACCATCAGATTGCCAACAATATACAGGTGCAGATTCTCAAACATGTAACAAAATGATGGCAGCTCGAGCGTTTATAACGATTGCCTGTATTCTCTCAGGATTGTTGTATGTCTTTTTATGTGTGCTGTGATAAAAACAGATTCAAATCATGCAATCTTTATGATCAGCAAAATTCTTACATTTGTATCTTTTATCGCTGGTATTGTTGGATTAGCTGTGGGTATTGCTTTTGTCACTTCATCGGGTGATAGGAAGTTAAGTAGTGTGGCATTCGTGGGAATCGCTGCAGTGGCTGTCAATATGATTGGTACTATTTTAGCCTTAATGGTACGATGAATAATTTGTCTTAGTTTGAAAACATTTGACTATTGATTGTAATTGTACTTATTTTCGCAAACAACTCATATTAGTAAAATAAATACAAAAAACTCTGTTTATTTTGTCCAGTTCATGTGTGTGAACAAGACGAATTCGATAATAAACAAGTCTATTTGAGATATCAAATATAGTTGGAGAATAGTCTATGCTATTCTATGAGTCATGACGTATACATATAACAGTGCTATCATCGGTGTCAGAAGCCAAAACGTTCGCATGTTTTTTTAAAATAAATCATGCAAAATGTAATACAATAACATACGGTTTTTCAGCAACCAACACTTAAAATTCTAGAGCTTCTTTTCATAAGCGAATCCTTTTCTTCGAAAAAATTCCGAAGTTCGGTTTTTCATTCAATCTCTTGGAAGCAAAACAATTTTTGATTATTTTCATGAAAAATTGAAAACTTTATAATAATACCGAATGAATCCTAACTGCTTCAAAAAATCAAAATATATTCTATTTTATATGCAGTATACCGTCAAGCTCAAGAAAACTTTGAAAAACCACTATAAACACATTAGTTTTTGAACAGATTTCCAGAAAGTTCGTTCATCCAAAGGATTGATTTTATCTGGTGTAAGCATAGAACTATCTCAATCACATGAGACAACGTGTCTTTTGACACTTTGAAGCAGTTCGAATCCATTGGATACAATTATAAAGAATTTCAAGTTTTTATGAAAATAATCATAAATTATTTTGCTGACCCCCGGTAAGGTTTCATATGATTCTTGCATTTCTTTTCTGACAACTGACGTAGTTCTAAGACTCAGTCTAATCGATAATTTGTTTTTTGATGCCTTTTTGAAGGCACTTGATCGGACAATATGCAAATCTTCGGTCTTTTGAAAAACCATTCGAAACCCTAGATCTGAATAAAAAAAACGAACTTTGGGTTACGTCTAATCATCTGGAGGACAATTACGATTATATACGTACAGTAAAGTACCAATAGATTACTGAGTCAGTTTTCAAGAATTTAACATAGTTTTTGCAAAGAAATCCAATAAAAAATCGATCCTCAGAATTTTTTTGAAAAAAGGCTTTGCTGATGAAAATATGCTTTAGAGTTTTGGCTACCAAATGTTGAAAAACCATAACTCGTTGTATTACATTTTGCATGAGCTATTTCGAAAAAACATTCAAACGCTTTGACATCTGGCGCCAATAGCAGTTCATTTTCGATACAGTTCTTATCCAGATTTAGTTTTGTATGGTGTGCTCTAATCACAACAAATACTGAATAGACAGTATTCAAAGTGAACAAGCATCGAATTAGCTATTGGTATATCTCACTCATGGAAAAAAGTCTAGAATAGATAAGAATCGATAGGTAAATGAAATTATTTCAGCTTATGATAAGGAATAAATGCGGTAAATTTTCGTATCGAAATCGACTTGATAGTGAATTAATTGTGATTTCATAAATTTTATATTGTTTGCTTTGAAAATACATTTCTTGTAACTCAGAGATTAACAAACATATTATAGAATCGTATTACTAAAGTCTTTTAAAAAGTTTTCTGCACTACATGAATTGTATTTTATCGTTTAATAAAATGTAAAATTTTAGAGGCATCGATCACTTTTCTCTTATTTATCAATCATTTTCGTACTTAAAAACATTATTGTCTAAGTGATACAAATACATAACAAAAAATTTAAAAAACATCTGTTTTCATTGAATGATGATTTAAGATATTTTTTGCTTCTCTTTGTCCTGTAGCAAATGCAGTATGAACAGATGCTCCATCACTAGTGTGTTCACCAGCCCGAAATAATCGATTTTCAGCACACTTCTTAGCAAGTAATTTAATTGTCTCTAGATTTGAATTAAGTTTAAAATACGAGTAAGATCCTCGAGCGAATTCATCTTGTGTCCATCTTGAAATGATATAATGTTCTAATTTATAAATTGTGCTCGAGGAAAACTCGCTTAAGACTTTTTATCACTTGTGTTATAATTATTTCATCCTTTTCATTATCCATTGCGTGAGCTTGTCGTCCACCAATCATAAATGATAGTGTACGTTTTATCGGATTACATAAAACAAATGGAAATGGAGCATCGACTAGGTACAATATAGTCAATTTCTCATTCCAAAAGTCGTATCAAACTGCATAATGATTTTGTCCGTATGTCCAAATGCTAATTGATCAATGGCATCTAATTTCCATTGTGGTAAAGTAGGTTGAAAGATAATTGTACGCTGTTTCAAACAACCGAGAGAAACCGTAATGATTACATATATTTTGCTAAAAGTTTTTGACCTTGAGAAGTCAAAATTTGAACAATATCAGAATAAGATAGTGTATCAATTTCAGTTACTACAGTATTGAATATAACAGGTAGTCGGTAATGGTTAGTAAGACATTCACGAAACTAACCATAACCACGTTTAACAACAAGATTATTCTCACGTTCGCCTTCTATCAACCAATTAGACTTATTCAAATATTGCTTAACTGAAAGTTGATCAAGATCTGCTGCATAAATTTCTTCTATAGCTACAATTATTGTTTTAACAAGACGCTTGTGTTAACTGTCTTCTAATCTATTAAATTCTTGTTCGATTGTGTCATATATTGAAATATCTTTATCTTTATCATTAGATATATATTGTGAAAATAATCGATTAATTGTTTTTTGTGCTTGAGTACAAATTTGTTGAGCAATATTCGAACCATCTGAATCATAACCAACACTTGTTGTTGGATCAAATAATTGAATATAATAATCGTTATCTAATTCTGTTTTAAGTTGTTCATGAAACGAATTAAGAGCATTATCAGGGCCATATTGATGTGTCCACTCAGCTCCAACATCAAACGAAGATTTCAATGAATGTTGATCAGTATAAGCACGACCTTCAACTCGATCACGTGCTTCTAAAATCATAAAAGTCAAATTTGATTGTGAAAGTAATTCAGTTGCTGCTCCAATGCCGAATGAACCACATCCAATGATAACAACATCATAAGTTTTATTTTCCATATTTTATTCTATTCTAAGAGATGAAAACAGATAAATAAAACCTGTCTTTATCGTTGGAAGAAGCAATCCTATTCATATCCTGTAGATGTGAAACAATTTATGTTACAAAAGAAACTTGAGATTAGCTGCATACATTTTGCATCTTTTCATTGAAACGAAAGATACAGCCTCTTGATATTAGAGAGAGAGAGCGTTAAATAGCAATACTTGTATGGATATACTCGTATAAATTCACGTTCGAAGTAAGAAAATAATGCATGAATTGTTCGATCATTCTGATTTCGGTATGATACGATTGACATCATACTATAAATCATAAGATATAACAGATGAAATACATATCTATGATGTGATGTGCAGTCTTCTATTAAACTGTATCACGAATCGAATAAAGTTAGACTTATTTATATTCAAATGGAAAAGATAATAAATAACATCATTTCTTTATTGTTGCAAAAATTAGAAAATGAAACAAATGCTATATTGTGTTATAAACCGGTGTTTTTTAAATAAAGACATATATTTGAATACTACGGGATAAGATTTCTTTCATTTTGTATAAATTATTCATAATTATGTTTCCAAACACAATACTTCATCATATTCTCACTTGTTAAAACTATGGTTTCATTTGAAGTTTTAATCAAATTTTCATAGTTTTTTAGCGAAAAAAAGAAAATAAAAAAATATCTATCCAGAATTTATTGCAAAGGATTAACATGTATATATTATTCTTCGTTCTTAGTGTTTATTATCCTTGACTTCAAAGTTCATTTCAATATTTTCAATCAAATAAAAAGATTTGATCAAAAAAACAAAATATTTAAATACAATTATAATATTTTCGAATTTCTTCTATATCCGTTGCACTTAATGAATTTCTTTGCCCTATCCATACACTTGGATCTTTTGTAATAATAGTTGGTAGTCCATTTATTGAAAAAGCAGTTTTTGAATAATGCATCACCGAATTATAATCATATGGAAGATTTAATGTATCAGTTATTTCAAATGAATATTTATTAAAATTATGTTCTTTGCCTATGTCAGGAAAAAAAACACAAATTAAATATATGTATCATTGACTAAAACAATTTTCTTACCTGGTTGTACATTATTAAAATCAATAGTTACATAATTATCTCGATCTGGACGTGATTGCTCATGCCAAAAACCAAGAGCTATATAACAGAGAAAAATATTTAATAAGACAAGAATGAATGTTTTTTTTTACCATGTATAAATTCATGCATGACAGTTGCTTCACGATCAACACAATATGATTTCATCTGTAATGTAACTTTTTGACCACCTTCAGAAATACGTCCAATCTCCAACAAAATTATTAATATTCTGTCAGTAATAGATGATTACTTACATATGAACTACATCCACTACCATTTTTGATTGATATAAAATATTTATCATCAGCAGTTTTAGGTCGAAATCGAATACAATATGAAGCAGAAGTTGGATCTAATGAAACAATTCTTTCCAAACGACGCATTGCTGATATAATCTTAGCACGATCATATGCATCTTGTTTTATTGCAAAAAGTAATCTGATAGTAAGTATTCTTTTTTTGAAAAATATAGTCTTACCATATTCTGATGAAATTTCATATGGAACAATACCATTTGGCCAACGAGCAGATGTATTTCGTTTACCTATACCTCGAGAGATTGTCATAGATGTTAATAAAATATCACCTTCAAAGTCTCCACCTAAAAAATAAACAAATGATTAAAATTCTATTTTTATGTTTATTTACCTATTTCTTCAGGATCTTGAATATTATTAGTATTTACCACGGATCGATATTTTGGATAACTACTTGTTAAACAAATAAATGTTAAAAATACGAATATGTTTCGTATTAACATCGCTCTTTTGTTTTTTTTTCTATTTGTGATTATTTATCATACACTTGTCTATTATTATAAAAATCAACATCTGTTGTCTTTCTCATGATCAAAACAAGGAAAAATAATCGAATTAATAAATTGTAATTCAATCATTTTGACATAGCGACAATTGACTTCATGAGATAGTATTCGAAATTCAGAACATATAAAACTAAAAACATGACATATATATTGGAAAATGTTCTTTCCTACTAAAACCGATTAATTGACTACATCGACATTCATCACAAGTAGAACGAATATTATTCACGATTATTCGTTTGGACATTAATTGTAATATAGTACTATATAAATTCATTGATTATTTCTGATCATTTATTTTAGTGTAGGCATATTGGAATTTGCTTAAGTGTTGCTCTACTCTGTTATCTACTGTTTCTTTTCTTTTCTTTCTTTAATGTATCCATTTCTCGCTATTTTGAAGACATATGATCATATTTGAATAATTTACATGACTCACTGTTATGTGAACGTATGGTTCCATGAAATCAAAGGGTTTTCTAAGGGTGCCGGGATTTAGGGACAAGGGTTCAAAGACTTAGAAGACCAATTCAAATATTTTTGCTAAAAATGTTCAGATTTTGAGAATTGGCAAGTGAAAAAAAAAATAGAACACTGAAACTGCGTAGGGAAAAATGAAAATTTCTCAAGACTAGGGAGAGGGTCGATCTTCCGATCTATCGGTCGAAATGTCCCTGGTCATCCTTGGAACCAGAGTGGCTGATTTTCACCAGTCTTTTTAATCAATATTTAGGAGCACTGAAGCTACTCTTTATCGCTCGTTTTTATCGATTTTCTTGATCTTAATAGTCCAAGAAATCTGAGCACGAAAATTTCCAACTGACGAAATCCTAGTTGATATAAAAGTCCCAGCTCTAACTATTAAACTCACACTTTCTCATCATACGATAAGAGCTTCAGATCATGATGAATGAGTTTTTTTTATGGTGATGAAAAATTAACAAGCATCAGACGTTAAATTTGATCGGAACCAGAGATGGACGAATTGCGTGCCACACTGCTCTTGTTCCGCTGCAGGCAGATGCTAAAATTGCGGAGACGGAATGGTGACGAGACACAGCGAGATTTGATGGCTTCCTCGCCTTCTGAGAAAACTGTTCTTTCGTTAAGAAAACAATAAAACCTATAACAATCATCATATTGGACCATGTAAACCGTCGAATTCCTCTTCGAATAGTTGTTTATAACCAGCGATGCATCCAAACTCAGCAACATGACATCAATTGTTGATCTTTTCTTCTTACAAAACATTATCGACTATGATAATTTCATGTGCTATCAATGTAGAAGGGTTCCATGTTGACAAGCAATTACAGAATGACTTAAAACATTATACAGTAGAGCTGGAAATTAGAAAAAATGAGGCAAACCCAGAATAATGAGAGTGTATTTTTGTAATCATCTCTATGTCGAACTGAACAGTAAAATTCAACTTTACCTATTAGTATCTTATAGTAAATGTCCTCCCATTCAAATTCACATACACGTCAAAATTTCATTGCAATGCATCTCAATAATAATGAGAACTGTCGTGACCTAGTTAAAAACAGCTCCAATCGCTAAATGCATGCTCATTCGCTACAGAATGTATTTATCATGAATGCTCGACAAATTTTCAAAAAATTAGCCTTTCGAACTATTTTTTTTACAAGATGAGACAGAGCGATGGTAGGGCTTCTGCTGAAACAGGTAACATGGTAGCGTTGCAAAGCTTTAATGAATTGGTGGTGAAGAACCGATGGCGGGATGACTTCTCCGCTACCCGGTCTATCTTTGATCGAAATTAAAGAGTTTCATCTCGAAATTTCAAGCTCAATTTTGTGGACTACGTTTAACCAACGGTTTTTCTAAAACGTACGTTTGTCTTTTTGAATTGTTATTCAATTATTAAATTAAATTTTATATTGGTATATTTTCAAAGCTTTCTTTTTTCTACTAATGAGAAAATAAGTATGCGATTCCATCATGTTATTTTGATAAATATAGCCCGAGTCATTCGTTTTGTAGGCACGTAAAAGCCCAGGAAGGCGTTTCACGTAATAATATCTTCTTTGTAATTTCTTCGGAGAAAAAAATAGAAAGAAATATAATTTTTGAAACTCTAGACATTGTGAAATTTACGCGTTGTCCATGTGTGAATGGATACGAAAGACGCTAACTGACTGCATGAGTCAAACAAATAGAAATGAGAAGTTAGAAAAGAGTATCATTTTTCCTCTCTCTCCCTCTTCTATCCTTTGGATATAGTAAATTCTAGAATACGCATGTGAATCTACAAGCATTATTTTTTTAGATGTATTCTAAATTAATTGTATTGTCGATGATGAGAAAGTCAAATAGTAAGTCGAACATTTCAGGTCAATTTTTTTCCGTTGCTGTTCAATCAGGTGGATACAGACATTGGTAAAAATTTATAGTTGAGGTTGTAATGCCAAACTGAAGAAATAACTTCATCGTTACTCTGAGTAGTGATGTATATTGACTTACTTTATGTCTCGATAATGTGACTGTTGCATACACAATGCAAGTTTGTATAGGAGAGAGAAAGAGATAAATACAGGAATGATCTGCGATTGGACAGAAATAATGACGATCTGTTTAAATATAGTCAAACTGAAAATGATTCGATGAAAAGTGTACTGAAAATCATATCAAGTTTTCTGATAATAATTATATTTGAATCGATCTATTATTTTAAGATTTTCTCGAAATATTTGAAAAACGAACACATTCTATTATATAATTTGGTTTGTGTATCAAGATTGGTTTTCGATCAAATATTGTGCCTCAGACTGCTATTATCAGAAGAATAAATTTGTGTTTTGGTGAGAGTTTCATCGAACTCACGATTATCACACTCTTGATCATTAGTTTACCTACTAGGAGGAATAATGGAGAGAGAATAGCGAGTCAACGATAAAAGGAAAGAGAAAATGACAATATGAGTGGAAGATTCATATCTATAGTGGCACAAGAATCAGCAGCTCATTCATTCGAACAAACATTACCTTTAGTTGAAGTTAGTTAACAACGTGACATCCTGTACTTATATGCAAAATTCTAGGGTTCTAAGCTTTCGATATTAATGATCGATTTTTTTCCATTGATAAAGAAAAATTTCAAAACATTTTTAATATTTTGAGAAAAATATTGTCAAGTATAAACCTCACACACACAATCAATGAAGAAAATGCAATTAATTTGATATAAATGACATTATTATATTTCAAGCACGCAAAAGCTGTAAATCATTCTAATTATTCGCAATTGTTTATTACTATTTAATCATTTTGAAATTCATTTTCAGATAGAAGATGATCATCGTTTAGTATAATTACTAATTGAACTAACAAATTTGATTAACAATTTCAGTTCTATTGATGATTTAACTGATTGATTATGCGCATGAAGCTTCCGCTTAAATCTTATTAATTTTTGCATGCTATTTTTGAGAAAAGAAACACGCACATGCTATTCAAACAAATCCAAATGAACAACAAGTACAGTAAAATAAAACTTTGTTTTTATCTTCTTTTTATTGATAAATTGACAGATTGTTTTTCGTTGATTGATTAAAAGATTTTTTGTTGATAATAAAAAAATTTCTTCGGTGAACATGAAAACTTTAGTGATGCAGCAAACGACTTTTCGTTGATAATTATATTTTTTTGCTTTATAAAGAATTCAGATATGTCAGAGAAGGATTATTTATTGAAAATCCTAGAAAAAGTTTAGAAGCAATGAATCTCATTATGGGAAGAAAAAGATGAATGAGAGCGCAATACGTAGGATAGTTTTAGGATACATTTGAAACGATGAATCCATGGTCTGTATGATTATATATTTCATGGAAGCATCATAAGACACTAGTGGCGTAGTCAACAGGTCACTAGAAAAGAATGAGTCCTCCGTCATACTAGAAATCTTCCTTCACTGACTAGTGTCCTTTCTTTTGCTCCTACTGAAAAAATTCGGACTATGTCACCATAAGAGACATGCTGAAGACAGTTATTAGTTGAATCAGACCCGCAGTACATATAGAGGTTTCTCGCCGCCGAGAGATGAAATTAAAAAAGGTATTGTGATCCGAGCTATTAATTTTCTTGATGCCATGTTTTCTTATCGTGTATGATTTAGATAATTTCAATATAAATGAGCCTCAATCAGGTTTTTTTTTGAATTGAGATCGAAACTTGTTAGATATAGTAAAAGCAGGGTAACAAATTTATTCTATTTATATGTAAAAGCAGGAAAATAGTCACAAGTAATAGACATCATAAAAGATCCTTAAAAATCTAATAGAATATAATAAGTAATAAAAGAACTAATTAGATATATATGCACGAAAAAACAAAGCAGACTTCATCTTTTTAATTCATTAAGGAAATGAAAAGAAAAGTTGCAGAAAACTGCGGAAGAAAGAATATGAAATCAGATTTTTCTAGTTTCGATCTACTTCTTTTTACATTAAAATATATCATTTTAAAGCTTTATAATATCTTTATCATGCTATTCAACGGTTACTGCGAATACAACAAGACTTTACGAGTATTTTACTCGCAAGCATGAGCTATAGAGCGAAGCTTCTCAAGAGTGCCAAGATTGATGGGAAAATATATAAGAAAATGCCTTACAGAAGTAATAAAAGCTGTGTGTCGTTTTACTCGGTGATAAAGAATAGTTTTCAATGACTAAATAAGAATTGGTACATTCTCTAACATGTGCTTTCGTGGTTCCTGTTTTCAATAATGAAAACTTCGATAAAACAATAATTTTAGAATATTGTATCACTTGATCCGACCTAACCAAAGAATAATCTTTCAATTTAACAACTATTCTTTCATTTAGATCGCGTAAACGATAATAGTTTTTTTTTAGTCATTTTTCATTGTGTTTTTTTGCATAAATGACATAGTTTGCTTTAAACTCGATTAGAT